TAGTCTTACAGACGGTGAAATCCGTCCATATAGTATCGGAATGCACCATCCACCATACGAGTGGTCAACGTCGCTAAGATTACGGGATGCAGCTATTGTGGCTGTGAATAGGTGAATCAGCTACGGTACATGAATATCGTTGATAATCTATCAATACGAATACTCAATTCGTCCCGTAATCGGACATCCTATACTAGAGGACCGATAGTTAGGCTTCCTCAAAACAGGAACCTAGTCTCATGATAGAAGCCTAGAATCGCCACAGAGTCCATAGCAATGTACACAGTGATGACTTGGAACGCGAGCAACATACGGTCCCTGTTTTGGGAAAAGCCCTAGTGGTACATGTTTGTACCAATAATGAAGATTACGATTCAGATCATTTTTCAGATTTGGTTCGTAAGCTTCAGTAATCAATATTTTTTCTAGAAGCTATGTGAAGAATACACAGTATTAATGCAGTAGTAAAGCGAACTTAGCTATCAGATAGGCACCGCTATCCTGAATTTCTAAAGAGCCGTATATTTTCGGTATCCAATTCAATAGATCCTATAAATGGTTTAAGGTGGAATCAGTTTAGTTTCTGGACGGCGTTGTAACAAGGTATAAAATGTCCCGACCATCTCAGCCAATGCTGTTTGAAACGTTCATCATTTGGGATTAGAACTTCTAGGAAGAATTAATCCCACACCTGCCTTTTTGATAGTAAAATCTACATATGCTTATAAGTTCATGTCACCCATACGGACAATGTACAGGTTTACACAACTTTGAACTCCCTATAACTCTACTCTTGTTAACTCTTTTTAATATTATCACAAATAGAAAGTAACCACATTTCTGAATCAGCATTACAGATACTGAAGTTAGGGCGCTTCCGACAAATATTCAGTTTTGGGATTTGGACATTGACGAAGCTGCAATACTATGCATCGTACTGTATTGTGAACGCCTTTTTCATGCCGTCTCGCCACCGTAGTGGGCGAAAATTCAAACTGGAACTACCTGCTATTCATAGGTCTACCTACACCAATTCTCCCAAATCGAGGCAATTCAGGTTTAGCACTTGTGCACCTTCCGAGATTTCAAGCTCATTCCAAAGTGTACTCAAATGTCTCTATGCCATGTGACATAACTTCAGATATGTATTTTCAATGCCACGGGTTTTATTAGCAAACGCACTGCTTGTCTGCACAGCATTGTCGAAACAAATGCTTGCAACATCCAATACAGTGTATTTCAATTGATAACTTATTCTCACTCACTCAGTACGTTTCAAAGACTTCATTTTGACGCTACACCGGCATCATAGTCGCGGCTACTACGCCCGCTTGTCAAGACATGAGGAGATATCTGGTATAATGGAGTACCATTAAAGATTGTGGGGCAATGCGATCGCACAGGTTTATGAAGTGCGTACGGGACGACCGAGTCGTCGATGTTTAGAGGCAAAATGAGTGGAACGCCTAGAGTACTCGAGCCCGTAGCAAGTCACGATTTAATTCATTAACTACTACGATGCCTGTCATACGTGATAATAATAATGGTGAGGTAATATTGTGTTACTGATTCCTACTTGGAATCGAACTCGAATATCCATTCCGGCTCGATGTGCCTATCCTAGCCAGTCGCCGTCCTCAGTACCGGCCTGTACTCATCGTCGTCTTCGTCGTGTGACTTTCTGCTCCCCATCGGAGATTTGTCGACATTGATATTCCCTTCAATGCAGTCTTGAGATCCAATCTGTAACATCTGCGTGCATGAGTTGCTTCACCCCAATCGTGAACTCATTGTCATCTGGACTGTCCTCAAAAGCCATGGTAACGCTGCTATGCGTGTTCATTGCAAAGTTTGCAGCCCAGTCCGCCATCTTATTGTGTCTTCTGTAATGATGTCTCCAGCTCTGTACGGCGCACAGATCAGCGAGCCGCCTTGCTACTCTGTACCAATGCTGGAGCTTCCGCGCTCTCGGGGGTTTCCTGGTCTCCATCATTCTCAGGATGAGCGCGCTATCCCCTACCACGTGAATGCCAGTCCAATTCTGCTCTACTGCCTTCGTGAGCAGCCTGTGTAGCCCGACAAATTCCGCTATGTTGTTGGTTGTGGTCTTTCGTCCTAAAGCGGTCGCCGCAGCCCACAGCATCTTCAACGAGTGTACTCCATCTCCAACCTCCACTACTATGCTGCCGCTGCCGCCCGGTCCTGGGTTGCCTCTGGACCCCCCATCGAAGAAGCCGACCCTGGTCTTATCTCGCGCGGCCGTGAGCCTAATTCCATGCACTCCTCCTTTCCACTTTGCTATGATATAGCTCGCTACTATCATCTTATGGTATGTCTTTTGTGTGAGGGGGTAGAGGCCCATACGATACCGCAGGAAAGCCTCCAGCACAGCCTTCTCGTACCCTGCCAACGCTTCTTCCAGTGCAGCCTCCTTCCTGCCGTCTGTATGCACTCTGTCGACATTCCTCCTCCACAGCATTGTCACTGTCACCGCGCATCCCAATGCCCACATCTCGCTGGCGACTATGTGCAAACGATCCCATTCTTCTCCTATTCTTCGTTCATAGTCTCCGTCCCCCACTGTATTAACCAGCTTGGGGTACTCCGCAGATTGAAACCAAAAATATCCTTCAGGACGCCCTCTCTACTCCTGCTTGCGGCCGCTTCCATTCTCTTCTGGCGACCCCATTTCTTGATGTATAAGTCCCAGTATGCCTCCGCCTCGGGACATGCCCAAATTAAATGTGCTGTCCCCCCCCCGCGCTTCTCTGTGCACAAGACGTTGCAGAACACCCCAATCCTCTGTCTTTGCCCGTCCATAGCCGCAATCGGTTAAGTTTGAGCCTTAATATATTCTGCGACTGGTATGCTGTTACACCTTCCATCTCATGGATCCGTTTCCACGGCAAAGACTCCAGCGCTGCAGCTAGCACTTCGTGGCTGCTCTTCCATTTATCCGCAATGCTGATTTTGACCTGCTCTGCTTCTTTCTGCAATCTCGTCTTTATCAGTCGTTTGTATCTTCTTCGTGACTGCGTCCACCGCCTTTGTCCAGCCCAGAGTGCCCTTACTTTAGTCAGCAACGGGTGGGGGGTGATCCACATCGTCCCTGGATGGATTTTTAGTACTTCAGCAATCGGTGAGGCGACTTCTGTGGCGTCCATATCCCAGTTCAGCACGTTGTCTCCATACCCCATGTGTGCGTTACGCCCCGCGTGGCCTCTATCGAGACGTGAAACAAGTAATACCGGCCTTCGAGGCCGTGGTGTACTCTGATCAGTGTATCCTCCTTGGTTGGGAATGCCAATTCCGGGAAATTAGCTAGCATGTTAAGGCAAATCTCGCGGAATATATGCGCTTCCCTATTCGTCATTGGAACTGTGTGTGTCGTCGGTTTTACCACTACCTCCCCACCCGGTAAATATTTCACCGTCAGCAGTTCGCAAACTCATTTTCCTTGGACATTCGCGATAAGCTTTTTTGTAAGCTGACCACTTGCATTCTTGCCCATGTGAGTCCCAATGCCAAAAATCTTCCAACAAGAGATGTGTTACCGTCGAAGGTATACATTCACCTCTGGCTTGCGTCTACGCTAGATCAACCCTACCATCTCTCCTCTCAATTTCCCCGCACAAGTCACATGTAGGCCTCCAGAATTCCATCGCGTCTGCAATCCATTATGAAACTTCATATCTGCGCGTAGTTTGCGAGCGCGATCCTTCCCATCAGAGGTTTTACTCTATGGATTAGACAGCAGATACTCTACCCACGGCCGACCTGTTGCTCTTAGGCTGTGGTGAATGCTGAGTGCAGAGAGTCGGTCTCTCGGTACAATATGCTCTTCAGTGCTTCCATCTCTGACCTGCAGCATGTCTCCCGCTAGTTGCCGTTGCCTCCTGTCCATCAATGCCCATTCGCCTACCACCGCTGCGCTCATTGCAATAAGCTCCGTTGTGATATTTGGTATCCCGAGTCCGCCGGCAGAAAGTGAGAGTTCTGCAAGGCGGGCTTACATCCACCCCGATGGTGGTTTCTCTGGCTGGATGAAGCACGCATTCCAAACGAAGTTGCGTAATCTCCAATCTGCTTCCTTGATGATTGGTTCAGTGGGCCAAGCATGCCGCGCTACATACAGCAGCTAGGGAATGATCACTGCCGCCGCAATTGACGTTCTTTGCTTCACCGTGTTCGTTTTCGTCTCTGCTAGGGCCAATCTTACGCGTAACGCAGCGAAAGCTTTGGCCCAAGCCTCCTCAGTTGTGTCTGCAAAGCCCGCTATGTGACCTAAATAGCGTGTAGTAGCGACCTCCGTTTCGCCTCATGTCGATTCGTAGCTTGTGTGTCTGATTCGAGTCTGATCCTTGATCCTAGGCGGATTGCTGCTGACTTCTTCAAATTTAGAGATAGCCCCGACACGTTCGAGAACCTTGCAACTGCGTCGATGACCGCCTGCTGCAAAACCATGTCCGCTATATAGATTGCTGCGTCATCAGCGTATCCGGCGACCTTCAAGTTCTTATGAGGTCTCGTTTCGTCAAGCTCAATCCCACGAATGTCCTGGCGGCCTTCAATTTCATCATAGAGTAAATCCACGGCTAGAATAAAGAGCAGAGGCGCCAATGGACATCCCTGCCTGATACCGCTGGTCACCTGCAGTCGTCTGGAGATTTCGCCGTTCGCCATAAATTGCACCGTCGTGTTCGTGTGGATTGCTTGCACTATTTGGCAGAATTTCGGTGGAAATCCCTTTGCTTGCAGGACCGCCAGCAAAAACTCGCGATTAAGCGAGTCGTAAGCCTTAGCGAAGTCCAGCAGAAGAACTTGAGCCTCACTCAGATCTGGGCTGCTGGTGCAGTACTCTTTGGCCGCCTCGTACAGATCTATGGCTTCATGAATCGTTCTACCCGGTATAAACCAAAATTGAGTGGCGTGCAACAGCCGCGTTATGTGCCTTCTCACTCTCCATGCCAGGATCCTGGTAAATATCTTATAGTCGGTGTTAAGCAGTGCGATTGGTCGGTAATTAAGCGGATTGCTGCTATCACCTCCTTTGCCAATGCTGAAGATGTAAGCTTCCAAAAATCTGGTTGGCGTGATTCCCTCCGACATCCAGTCATTAAAACTCTGATGAGCACCGGGGTAAGGGAGCCTCTGTGATCTCGATACCATTCGTTTCCTAGATCATCAGGCCCACACGCCTTTCCAGCCTTGCATTTACCAATGACCGCGTGTACTTCGCTGTCCGTGATCTCAGCATCAATGACACTAAGAGCATGAGGTTCCCAGGTCTCACTGTGTCGCTGCACATATTCATCTGCACTATCGTGATCCTCCGCTTCGCCGTTGAAGATGTGCTCCCAGCTATCCGCCAAAGTGTTTGATTTATCATGTGGAGCCCGCATTGGTTGGTCGTCCGCGATCGTCAGTGACGGTATAATGTTGTCACCGTACTTCGTGCATATTCAGCGAAAGAAATGCTTTGTCGATGCCTTTGAGCTCCACGAATTTCTCTGGACGAACACCCTACGTCTTCCAGCTCTCCTGGCTTCTTGTAGCTTGTTCAGTGCTTCTAGGATTTCTGCTCGAGTTGAAGAGTTGTCTTGTCCCGCGTATCCACATCTCTCCAAGCGTGTTTTCACACTTCTAATCCGTTGTCTGTACCCTTGAGTCGTTCTGGTCCGAGCCTGCCGCTTTAGTTTCGTCATTTCTTCCTCGATGTCTTGCTTAAAAAGGTCCCATGCTGTGGCCGTCTCTTGCCCCCCACAATTTTGCCAGCACGACGAGACACAAGCGTGGGAAAGAGGAAGGTCGCCGACCAAAACGCCAACTGGTACAGCGGGGCTTAGAGGAAAGTTAGGGCGCAGCGACAAGAAAATGAGAAGCAGGTAAGAAGCCAAGGCAAAAAGGGGGAGCATAAGTCCCAAGCGCGTACTAGGTGACGGAGGAGGGGAAAACAAGAGGCGAGAGGTGTCGCACTCTCCAAACTGCAGAGTACTGAAAAAATGGTAAGCCGGGCGAGAAGAAGACAACGAGACCCCACTAGGCACCAAAGCACAAAAGCGGGAAGGGGAGGCCAGGTCGCTGTCACCAATCAAACGCAGCACAGAAAAACACAAGCAGGGGGACAAGGAGGCGACGCAGCGCTTTATTCACCAATATATGCAATACACGGAGCGCAACGGAACCGGTGATAAGGAAGCAGAAAAAAAGACAGAGGCAAGATCAGCGATGAAGCAATCCAATCCAAAAAATACTGGAGAAAGCAAGATGCCCACAGCGGAGCCACAGTCTCATTCCGGCACTAAACTAGCGGAAAAGAGGACGTCAAAATCACAAAGGTCAACCCTGGATCGGACGATGGTGCACCATTAGAAATTTGGTTGGAAGTTCTTGGTGGACAAGCTGCAAACGTTGCTGCTAAGGGGCAGTGTGTTTGGCTTGCTTTTTACCCAGCTCTTCAACATGTCAATGCACGCCTGTTCCAACAGTGGTGTGTGGATATGGCAGCAAAACGCTTAGAACAACACCTGCTGTTTCATCGACTAATGAGCACATAATAGCATTACCGGCGCGATCTGTTTTCGGTATGCTTCTTCGAGATCATGCTGGACCAACCTTTACGAGCAGTTTGAATGATGTTGAAACCAACGTGATTCTATCGTCTTCTTTCACGGGGAAGCGAACACTACATGTGACAACAATATTACGATGCTATGGCGGTTGTTAGACAATTCCAAGCCTGATTTGTTCGTGACGGTCACAACGAACCCTAAGTGGAAAGAAATTCAAGATGAACTTCTTCCGGGCCAGACCTCTTATGATAGACCCGACATAGTTACAACCGTTTTTTAGAATGAAACTGAACACACTGCTAGATGAGGTTACCAAAAATGGTATCTTTGTAATGGTTGCTGCATCCGTCTACGAGGTAGAGTTCCAAAATCGAGGTCCCCACGCACATATCTTGATTATTTTGAAGGATCACGGGAAGCCTCGAAATGCATCAGATTACGATAAATTTGTAAGTGCTGAGATTCCGGATACTGAGATGCGACAGTGAGAACATGCATGATTCATGGTCCTTGTGGACGTGGAATTAACAGCCCCTGCACTGGAGAAGACGGATTATGTTCCAAACGATTTCATACGGCTTTCTTGGATGAAACGAGAGTAGATGACGATCGTTATCCTCTTTAAAGACGTCGTAGACCTGGACTGCTGGACCCATACAACGAAAAAAGTCCGCACAGACCTACTTCAACTAGAATGGTGTCGCGTTAGATTCATTACATCAATGCAAACAGACCACGATCACGCATAGAATCCGTTCGAGTTGATAACAGATGGGTTGCAACATACAATTCTTATCTGTGCCAAAAGTACGATTGTCACGTGAATGTGGAAGTGCGTTCGACCGTTCAATATATAAAGTATCTGTACACGTACGTGTACAAAGGGCAAGATCGCGCAACCGTTGTTCTTAGGGAACGCGGGAGGCGCGACAGTAATGATGAAAACAATACCGCGGAAGAACGTGTCGATGAAATTAAGCAGTACATGGATACAATGTACCTATCGTCCCTTGAAGTATGCTGGAAAATTTCAAATATGATGTGCAAAACAAATTTCATCATGTCAACTGATTGGCTGTCCACGATGAAGGCCAACACCACGTACATTTCCCTACCAATGCTCGAATTCATGATGTTATCGCGATGAATCAGTTCACAAATTTGACAGCGTTGTCCGGAACAATGTCTACATATCCAGATCTGGAGGATCCGGATCTTGCATGGGGATCGATGGCTAGTGGTGGCCCTGGATCTATGGGGATATGTATCAGGGAGGTATGGACATGAAGACGCCACTAAGGATCCGGAATGGGAAGACCCGGATCCGCAGGTGGGGAAAGTTTATGAGTATCCGTAAAGTTTGTGAGTCCGCGGAGCCGGATCCGCAGTGAAACATCAGGATCACGCCGGATCCTGGGCATATACAGTGGGTGTAGGAAGTGAAGGCACCCCCTAGATTGCGACACACTTTTGCTGATATTGTAGGCTACAGAAATCGGATTGATGCGAAACCTGGACAGGAAGTTGTCTTA